CAGGCCTCCAAGAGCCCGTCGTCGCCTCCTCTGCCCCAGGCGCAGGCCCCCGGACTCTACTGGTCCCTGCCTCCTCTTCATCGGGCCCTCGGTCCCTCTCGGCCCTCCCTCCGGGTCCCCCTCCTCCCGCCCTGCTCTGTGTTCCTGTGGGCATCTGGAATCCGCCCTTTGAGGAGGGGGGGGGGGGGGGGGGGGGTACTGTCTCACCTTGTCCTGTCTCCCCTTTTGGTTTAGTCCTGTGTCTCTGTTAATTGCTCCCACCTGTCTCTCGTTTCCCAATCACCCAAGCTCTCGTGTTGGATCATTGTTTCTATGTTGGCGTGTTCCCCATTAAAACCTTAATCGTTCCTGTGTGTCTGCTTGCCTGCTTCCCTCACCCGCGTGTGGACCCTTACCTCCACTTCATTCACCGGCGCGCGCTGACATTGTGTTTCCCCTTTCCTCTCACCGAAGAACCAACAGTCACGTGTGTAGGTTTAGCACCTCTCCTCCTGTTTGTATAACAGCCACTTTGTTCCTGTATAGCTATCACTTTAGATCTGATGTGGTCATACTGTCCAGGATCCTTCGGCGGTGGTAGAATGTCCGACTTAGTCCGCATTGCCCACCCTCTGACGAACCGGAACGGGGACACACCTGTCGTAGCATGGGGAGTAGCTTGATAGCTTAGAAGGAGCTCCGTAACCCCATTTTTACATGGTTACTGAATAGCTTGTGCTGTCTGAATGGAGTCCTTCAGCACTCGATTAAAGCGCTCCACACATCCATTCGCCTGGGCATGATAAGTGCTTGTCCTGATGTGTTTGTTGTATGCCCCGTTCATTGGGAATATCAGCAAAGACAGCTGACATGAACTGCGGTCCATTATCAGTTGTGATTTGGGAACAATCAGCCTCATTCCCCTAAATATCAGCTGCAACTCTGCCACTAGTTCATGCCGCACCAGGAAGTAAGGCTTGATGTCATCAGGTAAGGATTTGTTTATCTTTGGCCAACTTGAAAGAATACTCTTCCTCAGTTTTGCCAGTTCAGCGCAGTCTTCACATTCTGCTTTGAAATCAGCCAGTGGAAGTGCTGTTAAAAGAGGAGAAAGTTCCGCAATTTCTGTGATTAGGTCCTGCGCAGTTTCTTCACTTGTGTCTGTGGTAAGCAGTGGGACACGTGACATACAGTCTGCTATCACATTTTGGCTCCCTGGACGATACTCCATGTCGTATTGGAAACACATCAGTCTGGCTGACCAGCGTGCTATCCTCATGCCAGCTCTGTTCATCCCTTTAGTACTCAACAGGGTGGTGAGAGCCAGGTGATCCATCCTCAGAGTGTGTCCCCATATGTATGGGCCCCATTTTTCGACAGCCCATACACAGGCGAGGGCTTCTTTTTCTATCGTTGAGCATTTCCTCTCAGCTGGGGACAGGGTGTGGGAACCAAAAGCAATGATTTGCTCCTCGTTTTTTGAGTTTGTCTGAGTCAGAACAGCTCCAAGCCCACAATCTGAGGCATCAGTGGTGATAAGTGTTGGCAGATTTGAGTTGAAAATTGCCAGTGCAGAAGCATTTCCTTCAGCTTATTGAAGCTGTCATTTGCTGCTGACGTCCACTGAAGTTCAGCCGTTTCACTCATCCAAAGTAGTTCCCACAGTGGTTCAACTACAGTACCATAGTTTGGTAGAAGTTTGCTGAACCAAGAAGTTAGGCATAGGAAAGAATGAAGAGCAGCCATGTCCTTTGGCGCAGGAGCTTTAGCAATGGCAAACAGGTGATCTGGGCTAGGGCTCAGGCCATCCTTGGAAATATGTCCCAAGAATGGAATAGCTGTTTGCCCAAATGAACTTTTGTTAAAATTAATTTGCAGGCCTACCTCCTTCAGGCGTTGGAGAACAGCCTTTAGTCATTCATCATGCTCTTCTTGGGAGTGTCCGTACACTCTGATGCCATCTAAATAGTTCTGTACTCCTGGTAGGTCTCTCAGGACTGTGTGCATCATCTTTTGAAAGGCAGAAGGTGCCGAAGCAAGTCCAAATGAAACTCGGGCTAACTGAAAGAGTCCCTCATGAGATATAAATGCAGTGAGGCTTCTACTCTCAGGGTGAAGAGGCAGTTGGTTATAAGCTGAGCTTAAATCAATCTGGCTGCAATGTGTAGCCCCTGCCAGTTATGTGAATAAATCCTCCATGTGAGGAAGAGGGTGACAGTCCATAATCACACTCTTGTTAGGTTCACGCAGATCCACACAAAGTCTCAAACCTCCTTTACTTTTTCTCGCTACCACGAGAGGACTTACCCATTCGGATGCATCCACTGGTTAGATGATGCCTGCCTGGAGGAGACGTTTTAGTTCAGTTGACACCTCCTCCCGAATGCTGAGAGGTAGACGCCTCCGTTTTTGACCTGCCGGCTCTACTGTTTCATTCACTTGAACTTTGTGAATGAACCTTTTAACAGCTCCGAGATGGAGGGAAGAAGCAGAGTCAATGTTATTCACAATGCATGTTTGTGTTTTAGCTGGTGATCCTCTGGTAGGATCCTCTTCTTTGTTAATAACTTTCCCAGCTATGATGTCAATATTAAGTACTTCGATTAGATCCAACCCCAGCAAAGGTGATCCATACTTAACTATGTAGAATGGTCCTGGCACTTTCCTGTCTTTATTCGCCACCCTTACTGAGGCTTATAGACAGCCAATGACCGGTAGGTCATTTCTTGCATAAGTGACTAGTTTAACTTTAGGTTCAGTCAAAGCACACGGTGAGAAACCGGAGCCAAAAAAGTCCTGTGATCGGTGCGGTCCGAGTAGGTTGTCTGGACCAGTTTCACAATTGGAACAGAAAAATTAGCGACCCAATTCTTCCCATTCATTGCCAGGTTGGGTGACGGAAAGGCCTAGGAAAATCTCACAGAAGCTTGGCTCTCTCTTTCTCAACCACCTCAGGGGGTGTTACCCACTTTGATCTTGAGACTTCCAGTCCATACTCTGCACAGATGTTTGAGTACATGATGCCAACCACTTGGTTATGGCGTTCTATGTCTGCCTTCCCTGCCAGCATCTTACACCCTGCAGTTATGTGGTGAATTGTGTCATGCGGTGCAGGTGAGTTGAGCGTTTGAGGTGAGGATCCAAGTGCAGGGGAAGAAGGCAGGCCAGGCAGGCAGGAACGTTTTACTAGATACTTTACTGAGACGTACACGGGACATTGGGACAATGAACAGACTAGGAACGCAGATCTGGGAGGGTTTAAATACACAAGGAGCTTGGATCTAAAGTGATTGGGAGACAAGAGGCAGATGGGAGCAATTAGGAAAGACACAGGACTGAACAGAGTTGGGAGACAGGACAGGTTGTGACAGATTGTCTCAGGGGCCTCTATGCATAGCCTACACCTTGGGTCTTGTCTGGTGTGGTAGATCTTGGCCTCTGTTGCTCTGGTGTTCAGGGCCTGTTCCTGTGCAGCCATGATGAGTGCCTCTGTGCTGTCCTTCAGACCAGCTCTTTCTAGCCATTGGCAGGATTTCTTGATATCCGCCACTTCCGTTATCTGTCGGTACTACATCCCATGTTTGGGGTTTGTCTTCCCACAACGGTATTTCCAGTGTCTCCTCCTCTGTTGGCCGTTGTCTGAGACATTCACTGAACATGTCATCTGTTGTGGCCTTATTCTTTATGTACTTATGGATCTTGGATGTGTCATCCTGGACAGTGGCTCTCACACTAGTCCTCAGCCTCCTTCCTTACAGCTAGTGTTCAGTCTCAGGGTGCTGAACTTGGGATGGAACCCTCTATGCATGGTTAGGAACGTCCATGTCTTAAAATCTGTGGTCTGAATTTCCTCCTTTGGCCTGGATATTGTTCTTGCGGTTGAGCTGACTTCTTAGGACTTGCCTTACTCGTTGAAGTTATTTGGCTGTGGTTCCATTCCTTGCGGCTACATCAAGGTTGCCTTTGCTTGTGGGATACCAAGGTACTTGGAGCTTTCCTCAATGTCTGCTATTGTTACTTCTCGAAGTGAGATCCCTTCTGCGTGGACTATCTTCCCGGGGTGGCCGCCTCAGCTTCAGGAGTAAACTTTTAATAAAACTTTCAAATGCCATTCTGTGTGCAGTTGTCTTTTCCAGTCCTCACAGCCAGTCATCACAGCTTGATTGGAGCTAAGAGGACCACAGCATCTACAAAAAGCAGAGATGGGGGTCCACATGCTAACAAATTCAACACCCTTAACCCCACAGCGGCACCTTGAAATTATGTTCATATAAGTAATGAAATAAACCAGTGACCAAAGGTAGCCCTGGCAGAGTCCAACTCTTGCTGGGAATAGGGCTGGCTTACTGTTGGCAATAAAGACCAGACACACTTTCCTTTTCAAGGACTTTATACCCTTTTGAGTCCCCCCTACAGAGCACCCGCGGAGACACAGTCATACATCTCTAGATCCACAACACACAACCACAAGGTACAGAGGTGGTTCACAGTTACCCGGCTAGGGTGAAAACCACACTGATTCTCCTTAACCCATGATTTAACGTTCAGCTGAACCCTAATCTTCAGTATTTCGGATTAGACATTTTCAGAGAAGTTTAGGTATATGATCCCCCATTTTTAATTTACTTTATTTACCCAGAAATATCCCACTGAGATTAAAACCCCATTTTCAAAATAGACCTGGCCAAGATAGGCAGCAGCAAGGATCAAACTAAGGATTACACAGTTAAACTCTACTAGAAACAAAGATTGCATAAAATACTGAAAACAGTAAATGAAACAGAAGTGTAATGATAAACTCACAAGTTGGAACACTTCTGTGGTGCCTTGGTTTCTGTGCACGCATACAAAAATAGATACAGTAGAAAGGTACGCCATAATTAAGATGTGACCCTGTTGAAAGGTGATGTTTAGCTGCATTTTGTTTACCATGTTTGTGACGTTCCCTGTCAGTTTCTTCATTTAACTTTATGCTGTGTCTGAACTTCATGTACTGTTCGTCTGTCATTTCTCATCTACAGGAAGATGGAGATGTGGAAGATGAAATGACCTATAAAGAGGTAAACACACACACACACACACACACACACACACACACACACACACACACACACACACACACACACACACACACACACACACACACACACACACTTTAGAACCAATGATGTCAAATCACAAACTGGTCAGACATTTTTGATAGTTTTATGCTTATTTTGTCATCATCAATGCAACATGATGCAACTGACAACTTTGAGGTATATCCATCCATCCATCCATCCATCCATCCAGCTCTGGTGTCTAACTCCATCACACATTATAGGCAAGAAGAAGGGGAAAGCCAAATCAGGCTCTCCCGTCCAGCACAGGGACACACACACTCACCCCTAGGGAGAATTTAATGTGGCCAACCAAGTGCACCACCATGCAGCTATAAAGTATGTCTGAGAGTTTTATTCAAACAAATGTGATTAATTTTGGCTACATTTGTTACAGAGGTATAAGCAAGCTCCTTAGGGGGTTCTGCATCATAACAAATGTATAAAATGTATAGTATTAATCTCAAAGTTTTGAAAGTATTTAATTAATTTCTTTTCTTTTTTTTTTCTTTTTTGTTTATCAAAGGTGTTGTAACTAACTGTGTTGAAGCCAAGTTACATATATTCACTTTTACTCAGTGACGTCCCAGTCTGGAAAAAGCTCTTATAGATCTTTCAGTAGGCCCTCTTTTACAGCACGTGGTAATTCTTGTGTAAAGTTCTTGGTCAACAGGAAGTGACAGATATACAATATGAGGTGTAAATATATGAAAGCCCTAGACAATTAAACATTTAAAACCAACCGCACATCTCATGTCCTTTCTGTCAGAAACACATTCCTCACACCTTCTTCCTTTCTTTCACCTCTATGACATTTTTTATGTTCCTTTTCACCAACCAGCCTCACACCATTGCTGCTTTGTCTGCTTCATTTTGCATGGAGATTTGTCAGACGGTGGTTTGAAATAGTTAATATCTTTGCCTTCTGACCACAGACTGGGCCTATTTATAAAGAGATCATCTGTTATCAGTTCAGGGATTATGGTCTCAGCAAAACAACACGTTACACAAGATTCAGGGTTTTAAGCTTCATCTTTAATGATGCAATTTGTGTATATGAACTTATCATTTCTATAGTAAATGGTACTGAAGGTCTATAATAACAGTAAACCAATTGTTACAGTAAATCACCAGTTCTTTAATATGTTTCACATGCAGATTGCAGAGTGGGAGGAGAAGCAGCTTGATGAGCAAGTCGACTTCAGCTCCTGCAAGATTGAGGAATTCCAGCTGGCAGAAAACACATCGCTGTATAAGGTCTGATTAGCCTCCGACTATTTATTAAAGGTCTCAATCCCATTTTTAATTTTCTGTGGTCTCCAGTGACAATGAATGACACGTCATTTTCTGTGGAGACAAATGCTCTGGTGCTCCTGTTTCAAGGTGTTGGAGGTTGGAAGTTTGCAGGATGAATTGGATCAGCAGAAAATGGCAGGATTAATCTCATGAGAGATGAGCATAACATCAAACACGCCTAAAATTGCTGTAAGCGCATGATTGCTGATCGAGAGCTGGTCGTGAGGTGTTCATCGTCTCTCGTAACCCCCCGTGTACTAACCAACATACAACGCTAAACTCGCCCCGATCTCAAAGATTCTTGCAAGAGGGGAAAAGTGTCTCAAAAAAGTCAAAAATTTGCAGTGTCTGCCCAGCTTAACAGCAACGCAACTCATACGTGGAGTTTGTCAGCAAAACTCAATCCTGTACGACAAATTTCTTACGGTTGAAAATGCGAAAGCTCAACAGGTTTCTCCATGCCAGTGAGCGGCCAGTGGTCAGCTTCTAAAAACCTTCCTGCAGGTGGACAGAAGCCCAGCTATGGCAGGACTACGAATGCTAATTTTCCCTGTGAAGTTCAAGAGCTTTCAGTGTGACTCCCTTGTTGTCCTGTCTGTTTGATTTCTGTAACCAATGCAGGCAACGGGGGTTGAGGAAATCTTTGACATGTGCACATGCAACTCAGAGTGAGTGATCGTATTTAAAAAAAATAACACGTGTTACACGGTTTCTCTGTGAAAGAGATCTTTAATGCAGCACAAACATGTTTCACATGTGCAAAATGTGTCCCAGGGTTCTCAAGATACAATAGAGCAGTGGTAGGCGGCCAGGTTCGGTCCGCGAGCCTTCTCTTTCTGCCCCCCGGACTGGATCGGACCTTTCGCTCTGTTATATTGTCAACGGGGGACCACTACCAAAATGTCAGCTCCACCGATTTAACGCATCAATCATCCATGACACTGTCTGGTGAGGAATCATTCATCCCTCTTGGAAACGCCCCTGCTCTTGGATGGCAGAGCAGCCCCACCACCATCTGCCCCATACAGACATCAAAAGAAGTTGACCGGAACAGAGCCGAAACACCGTCGTAGGCCGTGACGGGCCGTCAGCCGATCTCTCAAACTCTCCTCCAGGCCAACCCAAACCAACCGAAATCCTACCGTCGCTAGTGATGGTCCGTTTGAAGCCGAAGCTTCGGCACATTAGTCAAAAAAACAGTGCTTTAGAAGCAACGTGTCGATGCTTGATTTGTTTGAGCAAAATCATGTGATCAGTGATGTCCGAAGCTTCATTTGGTACGTCACTGCTTTGGTTCCTGACTCAGGTTCAAATCCTTAGACCTGAACCACCGGTGTTATTTGGAGGTGAAGCAACAAGTGAATAAAATAACAAAGCTGAAATGTACCAGCAAGAAAGAGAGGATGTTCTGCTGTGTGGGAACACTTAAAGCTGTTGTCGGTAAACACTTTTGCAGCCTTCTTTTTTCATAGAAATGACAGAAAATAACCAAAAAAATTATCGTGGCAAACTCTCACACATTATAGCGATATTTGAAGATGAGACACGCATCTAACTGCTTTCACTTCACAAGTTCTCATGCCACACACCTCCAATTTCTCATGCTGAAAGAATAAGTGAGTGTGTCTGCGTGTGTGTGCGTGCGTGTGGGTGTGTCCCCGCTCTTTGGAGAGACGCCCCATTCTCACACATGGAATAATACAAATGCAGGCAGCCCTGAAGCATACTCGTAAGCTGTGTGTTGTAATATACATAGCTTTTTTCTTATTTAGTGTATACAGGAAATAAACAGAAAGGTCCAACCAATTGATGACCTTAAGGACAGTTTATTTCATCATTTGGCAAGTAAATTGATTCAAATTGTTGTTTATAATAAAGGCCACTAGATGTCATCCAAGAGGACGGTGCTAGAAAGCTTCGAGTAATGAATCGTTATTTGATACAAGCTTTAGTGCTTCAGAAAGCTTCGTTTGGCCATCACATCGTCCAAAACCCCCGGATAACCCACCGGAGCAAGTATTTGTGTCTGTTCGCTTTGCTACTTTTGCCCTCGCTTCTTACTCTCAGGATAAAAATGGCTCCTCTCCTCTGACATGCACTGTCAGCTGTGTGACCTTATATAGACAGGTGTGTGTCTTTCCACATTATGTCCAATCAACTGAATTTATTGGATTCCAATCAGACTGCAACATCTCAATGATTATAATTGGTAACAGGAAGCACTTGAGCCCAATTTTAGTGGCAAAGGCTGTATACTTTTGTACATGTGATTTCTTAGGATTTTTTATTTATTTTTGTTTTTAATTTGCAAAAATCTCTAAAAACTTCCTTCATTATGTTATGTGGTGTTGTATATTGAATTTTGTGCGGAAAATGATTCCATCACATTTTGGAATGAAGCTGTGACGTAAAGAGCAAATTGCAGGTTAATTTTTTTCCTAATTCATATTAAATGCTGTCCAAAAAACACTATTTGAAGTGCTTATTGTAGATATTTCATTTTAAAATACATAACAGCAGACTTGTTCTAGTAAAAGATGGCCTTTCTCAGCAAAGCTTCTAAAATGGCTCTTCTTTTCTAAATCTGGACGTAACCAAAGGGAGTTAGAAGCTAGGCGCTGCCTCAGCTCAATGTGGAGAGTGGCTAGTTTTAGGGTAGAGAGGTCGTATTATCCAGTCAGTGTGTGTGTTTACTAGTTTTGGATTGTGTTCATTTTGATAAACTATAGTTTGTGAAGGCTGCACCAACTCCAGCCTGTCTGGACATCGAGTCCCTGGGTTTCCAGATAAGAGAATCAATGCCTCTATCTCCGTGCCTGAGGGCGTTTTGTGCAGCTGAAAAGACGGACTTCTGTAGCCCATATCGGTCGGTACCGGGACAGGGAGGTCCGCGTTGGGCTCCAGAGACCTGTGACGGGGTTTAAAAAATAAATGCAGATTTCTGGAGCTCAGATCACCATCAGAACCAGGTCAGAACCGACCAGAACCGACAAGCAGAGACATGCAGCTCATTGGGCCAGTGGAGCTGGTGTCTGGGTCAGATCCAGCTCACAGAAGCCCGCATGAGCTCCAGAACCAGATGACATGCGTCTCTCTCTAAGCACTGAACTATGTTAGGTGAATGGATATTAACGAGTATGAGACAGGTGATAGACGCTCATTAGTATTAATATTATATAAACTGACCGATACTATTTTAACTGTCTGGTACATGATAGTAATCTGTACTGTATTGTGATGCTAGCACACGAGTTTAAGCTAACATCGTTAACTCACCTGCTGATCCCCTGCTGTTCTCCTCAATCTCTCTGCTTTAACCGATGGTTTCTCCCCCTGGTTTGTCTCTGCTCTCCGGGGCGAGCAGCAAACTCATAACTTTATTGTTTTGGTCCATCAGAAGTAGAATTATAAACATTTAAAGTTTCCCCTCAGTCAGAGCCGCATTACAATCCATATTTTTCTCTGGATTAAGCTAGCAGGACCCCCTCAGCTGACGTCACTTGGTTCCTCAAAAAAAAAAAAAACCTTCCTCACAAAAATTACTCTAAAAGCCTAAATGATTTATGTTTGTGTAAAAAAATTTTTAAAACAAGTTTCTATTATGTTTCTCTAAACATCGGTTCATGGGAGTAGAGCCCTGCATTGAAGCCCTAGGCCCTCGGGTCGGCCCGGCCTGACAGCCCTCGGGCCGGGCTTCGGGCCAGCGACTGTGTAATTACCTCGGACACGGGCCGGGCGAGCGCCTTCATTTTTAATCGAATTCATTTAAAAAAATTGAAACACTTAAATCATGGGTCGGCAACCTGTTCCCATCAAAGAGCCATTATTACCCGTTTCCCACAGTAAAGAAAACACTGGGAGCCACAGCAGCCGCGGCGTTGTGGGCGGGGCCTACCCTCAGACAACAGAGAGCTGCTTTAACCAATCACAGCAGGTGACAGCAGCCAGTACCGGTCGCTCATGTACGTCAAAGTTATCTTTCATAAAAAAGATAATCAATAAAACGATTTATATAAAGTGGATCCAGAAGCTGTAGCCCGTCTCTGCCTACAATATTTTGATATTTTTCACCCTGTTGATGGTTTTACTGAGCAGGTGCCACTTTTGTCATACGTTTCTTTTTAAAACATGTTTAGACTGTTCAGAATACAAATCCAGGCTCTGTCACGTTTGATTGTTGTAATTAAACTTTGTAGGTGGGGAAGGTCAGAAAAGGATCCGATCATTTTGTTTTTCCCTCATTTACAGCGACGGAGATAACAGCGCAGTGTGCCTGGCTCTGGTGTTAATCAAGTTTAATTTGATCTATTTTCACAAGAAAACAAAACAGTTAAAAGCAGGGCTTGTGTTGACTGGACAGTTCCCGTATTTGGCCGTTTATTTTGATGGAGAAAGAATAAAAAGAATTTCTCCGATGCATGCAGACGAACTGACACTTTATTCGTTTCGCACATCGCAGATGTAGCTAAATCACTCAAGAAAAGATTCCCATCTGAACATCTGAGCTAGACATTGCTCAGCGCAGCTCACTGTCAGCGTGTACTACATAAGGTACACAGCGAGCTGAAGATGTGGAGATTGGCTTGGAGCGCGTAGCAGAACCAGAGCGCATGCGGGAAGGTTCCTCCCACTGAAGCGAGTGTTTTCCAAACCCGGTCTCTCAGAGAGACTTGTCACTTAGAAAATGCTCCCTGATTATGAAACTTTGGCTGAATAGTGCTTGTTCCTGTCTCCAATGTGGCGACACATCCAGGAGCCGTCTGAGGAGAATCCCAGAATCTAACATCTTCAGCTCAGACAGCGCATATGATTACGCACAAGCGTGACCCGTCAACCCGGTCTCACAGTAAGACCGGGTTGGACCTGTTCAGGTTTACGCAGACATTCTTTACATTTAGAATTGGCATACAGATGTAAAATTAATGCAGTAAAATATAAAGCATTTTTTTTAAATATCCATTCATTTTATCCACAATTACCGCCCGCAACCGCAACATGTGTGTTACACTCCTGCCCGTGCATGTCTGTTCCCGCCTGCAACCACAAAACTCGGAGAAATTATTACCTCACAATAAAAGAGATGTATCGAGTTTGCGTCCTCAACATGTCATTTTATAGGCTATACCAGGGGTCGGCAACCCGCGGCTCTTCCATCCATCTGATGTGCTTGTAAAATAATGAATGGATATTTAAGTAAAATACTTTATATTTTACTGCATAAATTTTATATCTGTAAGTCAATTCTATGTAAAGATTGTCTGCGTAAACCTGAACAGGTCCAACCCGGTCTTACTATGAGACCGGGTTGACGCGTCACGCTTGTGCGTAATCATATGCTCTTCTGAGCTGAAGATGTGAGATTCTGGGATTCTCCTCAGACGGCTCCTGGATGCGTCGCCACATTGGAGACAGGAACAAGCACTATTCAGCCAAAGTTTCATAATCAGGGAACATTTTCTAAGTGACAAGTCTCTCTGAGCGACAGGGTTTGGAAAACACTCGCTTCAGTGGGAGGAACCTTCCCGCATGCGCTTTGGTTCTGCGACGCGCTCCAAGCCAATCTCCACAACTTCAGCTCACTGTGCACATACGCGCTGACAGTGAGCTGCGCTGAGCAGCTCAGATGTTCAGATGGGAATCTTTTCTTGGGTGATTTAGCTACATCTGCAATGTGTGTAATGAATAAAATGTCAGTTCGTCTGCATGCGTCGGGGTAATTCTTTCTATTCTTTCTCCGTCAAAATAAACGGTCAAATACGGGAACTGTCCCGTCAACACTAGCCCTGCTTTTGACTGTTCTGTTTTCTTGTGAAAATTGTTGGAAAGAGATCAAATTTAATTTGATTACCACCAGAGCCAGTGTGCCGTTATCTCCGTGACGGTAAATGAGGGAAAAACAAATTGATCAGATCCTGCACGTCTTTTAACACATTGGTCAGGATTGACGCACTTTGTTTTCACTTAGTTGGTTAAAAAAAAGTCGGGCTCGGGTCGGGCCAGAGAATTCTGAAAACCTTTTCGGACCGGGTCGGGCTGGGGCTCAACCCCCTCAGGCCGGGCCGGACACGGGCTCAGATTTTAGGCCCGTGCAGGGCTCTACATGGGAGTCTCTAACCTGAAATTTGC